CTGCTACAGACTGCCCATGTACACCCACGTACCAACGTATATACCTAGTCAGGTCATAAGTATTGTCACACAGTAAAAACTTTTCTTTTAGAATGCTGGCCACAAAAAAGTTTATTGAATTCGAATTGTTCATGAAAATAAAACTGTATACTTTTTAGAATTTTACTCATTTTTACATATGGAGTGGACGCTTAAAAAAGACCGTGTTGCAGTTGCGATTACGCGCCAATTAAATTTTTTGATATACTGAAAAATTTGAATATAACCAAAAGATTCGTTTATCGTACCATCAAACGATACAATGAAGACTCTAGTGTAGATGACAGGTCAAGAAGTGGTCGCCCTCGATTTGTTAGGACTCCAGCAGTGATAAAAGCTGTAAAGGTGCGAATTCAAAGAAATCCCAAACGTAAGCAGAAACTGTTGGCCCTTCAGATGGGGTTAAGCAGAACCACGGCGTTAAATGAAGACTTAGGGCTTCGGGCATATCGAAGAAAAACAGGACATCGTTTGAATGCTCGTCTAATGGATCTGAGACTGAAGAGATGCCGCGCTTTGGTGAAGCGGTACGCGGGAAAAAAATATCGGGAAATTCTTTTTTCGGATAAAAAAATTTTTACCGTAGAAGAGAGCTACAACAAACAAAATGATAAGGTGTACGCACACAGTAGTGAAGAAGCGAGCAACCGTATTCCGCGTGTCCAACGAGGTCATTTTCCATCCTCGCTCATGGTATGGTTGGGAGTTTCTTATTGGGGCTTAACAGAGGTACATTTTTGTGAGAAAGGTTAAAAACGAATGCAGTTGTGTATCAAAATACAGTCCTGACGAACCTTGTGTAACCTGTTTCTCATACCATGTTCAATAACAGGCACTGGGTATTCCAACAAGATTCGGCGTCAGCTCATAGAGCGAAGAGCACACAAGACTTTTGACAGCTCCGTGGCGTAGTGGCTTAGCAATGAGTGGCTGCGCTTGGGGGTCGCGGGTTCGAATCCCGCACGGAACAAGTATTTGTACGACCTACAAGTAATTGTTCCGAGTTTGGATGTTTGTGCTTGTGAAATTTGTGTTTGTAAACTGCCCCCATCATACAGGAGAAAAACCTAGTGTGGAGGTAACGTTCTTTAAAAAAAAAAAAAAAAGACTGGCTGGCGGCGCGTGAAATCGACTTCATCCGACACAAAGACCAGTCCAGATTTGAATCCGTTAGATTACAAGATATGGTAACACTTGGAGGAAAAGGCGTGCTCAAAGCCTCATCCCAATTTCGAGTCACTCAAGACATCTTTAATTAAGGCAGCCGCCGATATGACATGGACCTCGTTCGTGGTGAGATAGACGACTGGCCGCGCAGATTGAAGGCCTGTATTCAAAATTACGGAGGTCATTTTGAATAAACTATAGTGTCATAAGAATCTATGTTTTGTTAAGTTCATTTTGGTATATAAATGGTTACATAATGAATAAACTTGTTTCAATTATTTATACATTAAACATGTGATAGAATTTATGACATATGATAGGTAATATGCAATTTGGGTACAGATGATAAACCAGGGTCACATTGGGTAGCTTTATATATCGATACGAATGACGTCGGTGAATATTTTGATTCATATGGACGGGCACCTGTACGAAATTGTAAAAGATGGAACTGGAATGTTGATAGGACTTCAGTTTGTGGCGAATATTGCTTAATGTATTTGCTATATAAGTTTCAGGGATGTTCAATGCATAGTTTTACGAGTATATTTACAGAGAACACATTGTACAACGATATGTTAGTGGATGAGATGTTTCGCTCCTATTTAATAGATAATAAGTAATAAGATTTTGTATTTTATAAATAAAAATTTTAACAAAATTAGGTAATATGTTTAAAAGATGGAACTGGAATGTTGATAGGACTTCAGTTTGTGGCGAATATTGCTTAATGTATTTGCTATATAAGTTTCAGGGATGTTCAATGCATAGTTTTACGAGTATATTTACAGAGAACACATTGTACAACGATATGTTAGTGGATGAGATGTTTCGCTCCTATTTTATAGATAATAAGTAATAAGATTTTGTATTTTATAAATAAAAATTTTAACAAATTTAGGTAATGTGTTTTATTGATGATTCAGATTAGTGTTGTAGATAGGAACAAAGGAGTATAATACAATAGCATAAGCCGACCCACACGCTGGACGAATAATAGATAATGACGGTAGTCAATCAACAATAGATAAGTAGATAAGGACAATGGAGCGCTAATGACGGTTGAGGCTCGCAGCGGATATCAATTAGATAAGAGTTAATTGATCTGCACATTCGGACTGCATCCTACGCAAAAATGGACCGCAGATTCGTGATCAGAGCATGCCAAAACCTTTTTTTTTTTTTTTTTTTTAGGATTGTGAGTGACGTCGCCAGAACTGGTACAACCTTTCTACAAGTGCGCCAGAACTGGTACAACGTAACTACTGAAGCACGCGAGAATTTGTTTCTATTTATTCAAATACAAAAAATTATAGAATAATTGATGGTATATCCATTAGGAGGATATAATGATTTTTGGAGCACAAAATGACAAAATAATCGCCGACACTTTGACCGACACTGAACGAATCACCAGTATAGCGTCGATTCATGACGTCATTTGCATTGGACAGTACACTGCGATGTATTTCGGAACATACCCCTTATATACTAAGAGATATCAAGGGCGCGACTTAATGCCTTATGGCATTCTCTGCCAGTCAACCCCGGATGATTTGAGAAACTGTGGCAGGTATAACCAATCACTTCATAAATAAATAATAAGAATATAAAACAAAATAAACTACAAATGAATAGAATAGATATATAGTTAGTAAAATATACATACTTACTTAATATATAAGTAAAGTTAAAGTTACAGCCTATATAAGTCCCACTGCTGGGCACAGGCCTCCCCTCATTTTCTGAGAGGGTTTTAGGTTAAGGAAGTGTCCGCCGCGCTGCCCTAATGCGTGTTGGCGAACTTCACATGTCTTCGAAATAATTTTTTTTCTTATTCCTCAGACATGCAGGTTTCCTCACCATGTTTTCCTTCACTGACGAGCACGTGGTAAATCAGCACTTAAAATTGCAATTAACAATTTCATTGGTGCCGGCGGGGATCGAACCCGGGTTACTCGCGTTCTGTTATATTTACAGCGAGCGTTAACCATCTGAGCTACCACGGCTCACTACTTAATATATAATATGGGATAAATAATAAATATATAAAATAACACAATACATTTAATATGTATGTACATTATACAAAATATTACTTATAAAGTGAAAGAGAGAGAAAAAACAATAGTTGGATAGTCAGGTGGTATTATTCTTACGAGAGAATTCTCGAACTAGTCTTTTAAAATAATTCTTGTTATTAGTTTTCTTGATGTAAACAGGCAAGGCATTCCAGAGCAAGAATAGACTGTATAGTAAAAGACGAATTAAAGAAACCACTCCTATGTGGTGGAATACGAATTTTAAGACAATTTTGAGAACGGGGAACTATCATTAGTAGAATACAAATATTGAAAGTTATCTTTAAGATAAGAGGGAGAAATGAGATGACTATGTGTACATATTTATTATATTATCCAAAATGAAATGGGTTCATCCCATGATTGCATTCTATAAAGCCTAATTATTGTTTAATAAATTCATGATAAACAAAGATTATAAAACTTTATCCTATAAATGCTACACTTTCGAGAAAAAACATTAAAATTTTGAAAGAATATTGATGTACCCTCCAAAGCATTTATAATAGAATTAATTTTTCCTTAAAAATGTTATTTTTATAGGATAGGATGACAATCGAGCACACAGTCCACCTGATGGTAAGTGGTTGCTGTGGCCCATAGACATCTACATTTATCTTTGATTACGAATCAAAATGCAGATGCGTTGTCACCCGTGAGGACTAAGATGGAATGTCTCATTTCCACTAAAAAGGGACTCCGGTTCTCTACACTCACCATACGAAACACAGCAGCATCAAGCTACCATTTCACGCTAGTATTCTGTGAGAGCGTGGTCCTTCCCCGGTCGAGTCGAACCATTCGTGCTAAAACTATACTACTAATATAACTGCAGCATGGCTCTACCACGTACAAAATGTGTTATTGTATATATGTAATATGTACAAAAAATATGTTAGTTTTATTCATGAATATAATAAAAAAGCATTCGGTCCAGCTGATAGTAAGCGTTTACTGAATCCCACGAATAACTGCAACCAATTTCTAACAAAGAAAACTACAATTGCGTGAGATGAAACGTCCGAGCTCTAAGAGCTGGAAGATCCATAGCCATTACACTGGCTTCCCATATAACGCAACAGTGCTTCCACTGTTGTGATCCAGTTTAAAAGGTACCTACTTAGACAGAAATAAAGACAGGAACGAAATCCTAGCAGAATCTAAATCTCTTTGACACACAAGTTTTTTTAAATTGTCATGAATTTCACCGAGAAGCGATCTTATTTTGCACACTTCTCTCATTCACTCACTTTCTAATTCACTTTACACTAATTAAAGTTAAAAACACTAATAATTAATTACACTGATTCACTTTATTCCGCTCCGAAACTTCGCTTGTCTCGCCAACTTCAATACTTCCCCGATCGCGTATTGCAGCGCCTTTATATAGGGCTCTTCCACGAAAACATCCAGAATATTTCAGAATATTCGACGCGTGGTAAGTACGCGCGCCAACCAACCAAGCGCAGAAAGATCGAGTGTAGAGCTTCTAGAAAGTTTAGTTCTTCAATTTGATACTAGATGACGCTGTCGGTTAAAAATTAATCATGTCATTTTCTGGAAAGCTCTCTCCTCGCTCTGTTACCCGACACTAGATGGCACTAGTGCCATGAGATGAGATGTCAACTTAGCCGCGCAACAATACTATAAAAGTTAAGTCAAACACTCTACCATGATTCACCAAAGATTCATAAAAAAAAAGCGATGCATTACTTGTAAAACGTCTCCTTTGCGGTGAAATGCGGCAATCTATGCGACTCTGGCGCTGTGGGGCACGTCAATCGCCTTTGTAATTTGCTCAGCTTTGACTCCTGTAACAGATCGGTACAATATAGTTGAGTCATTAGTCGTTCAAATACAACAGCTTTTTACTAAATGCATATGAACGAACATACTACGGTAATTATAAGAAAGAAAAATTAAATTTTTGTTTGTCTGTCAGTCTGTCTGTTTCGAATAATCTTTTACAGTTAAACCGATTTTGACGGAACTTTCACTGGCAGATAGCTGATGTTATAAAAAGTAACTTAGGCTATTTTTATTTTAGAAAAAGAATTAGGGTTCCGAGCAAAAAATTTAAACACATGAAATTTTGAACAAAATCCGAATCAAATAGGGAAATGATAATAAATTACTATAAATTATGAGTACGAAGTCGCGGACACAGCTAGTATCAATTTTTTTTTGCCAGAACTTTAAATAACTAAACCTAACGTGAGGTCAACGAAAAGAGATAAAAATTGTAAATATGCTAACCTGTACTGAGTTAAGATATGACAGACATCATAAATGGAGGAAGTACCTTACACCTATTCTCTCGCACATAATAACGTCGGAAACCACTGCCGCTACGTAATTTATAGAACTTAGAAAGCAGCCGGTAAACATGTTAACAACATTTAGCAAAAATATACCATGTAGTGAATTCATGTTCACTCCTGCTTGCATTCGTTCTTGTTTAATGTTATAAAAGAGAAATAAATTCACTACTTACAAACATCAAAACAAAAGTTTTTTATGTGTTTTATTTGTAGAGATGCCGCAAATAGTTATGTTAGAAAAGCAGATAAATTTTTATTACAAAGTTGACCATATGTTTGACAACACAACAGACAGTTATATGATAAATGTAACATAAACTCTTCTGAAGAATCTTAAGCGAGTACAGATGTCCATGATATATTTATTTGTAGATATTTTCAATAAAAAATGTTATGAACCTCTGAATTTTTTTACGTTGTTTATTTCAATCGTTACTTTACATTGATCCAAATGATGAGGATTAAATAATGCAATTTATTGGAATCAAGTATTAAAAATAATGTAATGATTTAAGAAAAGAAGACTGATGGTACAGAACATTAAACTGTACCTGTTTAATATACAATGAACCAATTTTATTATCTATACTATATAATATTTCTGTTACTATAATAAAAACACTCAACCTGTACGGTAGGTGGTAGACATTCTGCAATCATGTGCGCTGTGAACAGGGCTGCCAAATGCGCGTGATTGGCTGCGGTCGGACCTGAAGATATCAGAGTTTTGATACGCGCTTTAAACGTGGTTCTCGTTCCTCCAGATGTTTGCGTATCTTGGTACCACCTAACATAAATAAATATTTATAAATTCATCCAGAATTACAATTTGTTCTCACACAGAAGAGAACAGTGGTGTATACATTTATTGTTAAATTGAACTTCCACCAGTAAATATTCGGCAGCGTAAGAGAATCCATTACCCCATATCATACCGTAGGTGTTGTAAGAGACGGCAGAGAGAAATGAAACAGATTTTTTATTTTTTTATAGCATAAGGGTGACAAACGAGCACACAATCCACCTGATGGTAAGTGTTTGCTGTAGCCCATAGACATCTACATCTATCCTCGATTACGAATTAAAATGATGATGCGTGGTAACCATGGACTAAGATAGAATGCCTCATTTACAGTAAAATGGATCTCCGATTTTGTACACTCACCATATAACACACAGCAGGATTGAGCTGCTATTTTACACTGGTGTTCTGTAAGAGCATGGTCCTTCCCCAGTCGAGCTGACCTATTCATGCTACAACTATATTACTAATACAGTTGCAGCATGGCTCTACCACGTAAAAGATGATGAATAAGATGATGGACAGCAGCATATTCCTGTTAGTAACTCAAAATATTAACAAGCTGCAGATGCCGACCCACATGCCAAGGGTGGTAACTATGATAAATTTTCTCCCTGTGAAGCAATCTATGGAAGTGGCCTATACACAGTAGTGAACTTTGGATGGGCTGTATTAAAGTAAATGTTTATTACAAAAAAGCTAACTTACGTTTATAAAAAGCAAACTATTTCTGAGGGAAAGGTTGTAACTAAAGTTCGTGCCAAATCGATTGAGAAAAACGGACGATGACCTCAAATATAAGCCGAGTGTCAAAAGGCGTAACTTTCTCAAAAAATCTGTGGTTCCTATAAACATCGTAAAATCTTACGGTACATCGCGAAAAATGTGTTATATTTTATATTTCAATTTATGGTAAGTCACGCAGCAATTCATTTAATAACAGTTTTATATTAAAAAAAATATTTGAAGCAATATAATCACCATATTGAGCTTTTGCAAATTCATCCCTTTAAAATAAACAAAACGCGCGTTACTTCAGTTCATCCTAAAAGAAACGTGACAATGGCAGCCAGAGATGCGTCACTTTTTTTGGGCCGGCCCGCATGCACCGAATAAAAATAAAGTTCGTATATAATATTGAAAATAAAGTTTTATCTTTTGAATAAGTACATACTTAAATCGGTGTCGTTATCACTCGAATCTTTATATGTGTTATAAATTAATGCTTTGTGTTGTTACTCTCACGTCAATCTATTGTTATCAAGTACTTTATAACAATAGATGAGTTTTCTTCTACAGAGATCTTTTACATAACTTTTTAATAATAGTTAATAAATATATATTATATCATCACTCATTATACAAAGAAAAAAAACCAGTATAAATAAAGAAAGTACTACATATAAAAAGTGCCTATATATTGAAGGTTTGTAGCCCTATCCCCTGGTTAAACGACCGAAAGGTCAATGTCCGTTTTTCTCAATCGATTTGGCACGAACTATAGGAAAAAAACCCCAAAGAAATTGCTGGAAATGAATATATATTACTTACCTCAAAATTTCGTAAAACATGTCTCTTTGTTTTTTGAAATTCTGAAAACTCAATACTGACGGAAAATTTTCCGCGTTATCGGTTTCAAAATTAAAACAGATCACTCCATTTGAAGCTCTGTTTTCAGTAACGCTTTTGATCTTTTCCTGGTTATTTTCTGCTTCAACTTTCAGTCCATATGAATTGAGAAGGAATTTGGCTAAATCGGGATAAAAACTTCGGATTTTCTTATTTTCACCCAATATTTTTAGGGAATTCTTATCTAAGATTACTTCTAATATTGTTCGTAGATACCACAAAGATTTAACAACAAAATATGTACTATTGTGTATTGATTTTAATAAGCATTCACTTATATTCTTCTCATTTAACTGCGATTCCACTTTTGTGAAGTCTTCTTCATATTGCTTGGAAAGTAAAATAGATATTAAAAAGTATATTTCTATATTTAAACTAAGGATCAAGTTATTTTTGAGTAGAGTGTCATATATTTCAGCTAAAATATCTATCTGATCTTTAAAAACAACTTTATTTATATCGGCAGTAACATAAGATTGTTTGAAATCACAACATTCTTTTTGTGTAACTTTTATTTGGGGAGTTGAGGTTAAGCTTTGTGATGTAGATGTATTTAAAATGTTAAATTTCTCCATAAGTTTATGCCGTTCTTGCTTCAAAATACTCCTTTCTACTTCGAAACTTTTGGAAAATTCCTTAGGCTGTATTTTCTGTTCTTTGAATGCAGCATTGTTTTCCAAAGCTAACGGAGAGGGTTGTTGAAAAGTTTCAGCATTAAAACTATTTAAGGAGAAACTTTTCTGACTGGAACTCTTATCTAAATTAGTCGGTTTTATTCTTCGCCGCTCCGATCTTAATGAACTAGACTTTCTTGCACCAATCTCTGGGAAAATCTCAGAATTACTCAGATCCAATTCCACTTTTGTGTCTGTATCATTTTCATCAGACACATTTTTATTGCGTTTTTTCTTACTGCTTTTAGGTTGTACATTAACTAGGAAATCTCCTAAGCTAATGTTCTTTTCTTGAGATCTTGAATGTCTATGTGATAGCCGAGGTGTATCGCATCTCTCATAACTGTCTCTAAAACTACGTAAATTAGGAGTAACAGGACTCGATACTAGACTTGGATATTCATTTTTGTAACCATTTTTTATTGGCGTACTTGATATGATCAGTCTGTTTACACCACCACTAAGCCTAGATTCATCTGATGAAATAGTTAAGTCTTTACTTTTGTCATCAGGAAATAATTTGGTTTTGACTTTTCGTCCGGATTTTTTTCGATCTTTACTAGGCGATTCATGGCTAAGTTGATTGGTTTTCGCACTGAGACTGTCCGTTGTGCGATCAGTGTCACTAGTTGGATCACTGACTGATCTTCTGTGTTTTTGTTTAGATAATATCTTTTCTGGAGTAGCTTGTTGTTGTAGTAATTGTACAGCATTGCTGTTTGTTTGCAAAACACTAAAACAAAAGAAAATAAGAAATCTAAAATACAATGGACCTCAAATTAGCGGCAACAGTCTTTAATTAAAACACAGTGTAAACTCCATATAACATTACTCCATTTAACGACAAACTCCCTAAAGCGTCGAAATTATTAATATATAATTATATTCAATATATCTATATCATAATATTTTATTATATATATCATAATATATTAATTATATTCAAAGATACTTCGAAAAAACGTCGAAAGACACAAACTTTGGATATTTTCTCAGACCCCTTACGCCGCTTTAAAAGGGTAGCCTCCCAACTGATAAACGTTTTTAAAATATTTATTGTGTTACTTTTTAATGTTTCTTTCTTTTTTATTACTGTATAAAATAATTTTAATCTTAATTGTATTTTAATAATTGTATTTTAATTTTTTTAATTAGTAATTCAAAATGAAATTATCATTAACATTAAACTGACATTGTTTTCATTCTATTATTTATTCATAAACATTTTTTTTCTTATATAATAACATTTTAATTCTTTGACATTGAAATTTTGGTATTGTTTTATATTTTCGTAAGCAAAACGTAATGTTAAGAACTGTGTATTTGTAAATCTGATTTGTACTGTTTTTATTGTAATGTTCCCTTTAAGATAACTATTTATAAAGCAAAAGCAATGTGAGTATGACGCTCAATATTCACGTAGTTTACACCTATAAAAAAGGTATCACTGAGCATTAAATTATTTATTGTCTACTCTTAGAAAGCTTGTAGTGTATATCTTGTTGGTGTGACAAATAAATAAATAAAAATCACTCTGCTTGTTTGGTTTAGCTTGTCTACCATACAATGATCACTAAGTATATAACATTACATCCACCGTCAATAACGACTACAATTAAATAATGAAAAGTACTTTTTAAGTTGCAAAAATTAGTAAAATCTACACAGCTGTGTACGTTCCTTTGTCGCTTTATTAACCTAGCCCGTAATGAACTAGACTATTGGCATCATACATACCAAACAAACTCTCTAAGAAATCCGTTTTGTTGACAAATTGGGATTGCTTGCATGTGTAGACTGTTGTTACTAGGAGTCATAGATTATTTATACGTTATCATATTCTTAGTTGCACACATATTTTCAAACTGTTTTGTTTTCAAGCATATTTTTTTCTGTTCCATTTAACAACAACTCTCTATAACGTCAAAATATGCACAGTCCCTTGAGTGTTGTTATATAGAGTTTACACTGTACATAAATGAAATGAAAAAATAAATCATGTAACATGTAATTAGGATGTGGATGTGTGATAATATCAGTGAATATCATTGATAAACTACTCTGATAACAAGGTGTGAGAAAAGTTGTTTTAAAGCAAGTTGATTGTGGCAGACCTTCAATTTTAAACATACTTACATATATAAATTGAATGAAAATAAAACCAAAACTTAGTTGAAACTATTTTACATGTGCTATTCATGTTACTGCAAATAATATTTCTATTTGAATTAACATAAATTGAATAATAATAATAATAATAAAGTTCAAATTAAATTTCATAAAATTTTAATTTTATTTAAAAATGAAATACGAGTCTGCCACACTGCTTCAGATACTTTTTTGCTATACTTTTCTTATTTCCACAATAAGACTGTATAAAGCAAATTTAGTAATAAATTAAATTGTCAAATTGTCAAGTGACAAGCACACAGTCCACCTGATGGTAAGTGGATGCTGTGGAGAAGTGTGTGTGTATGCCCATATACATTTAACCTCGATTAAGAATCAGAATGCAGATGCGTTGACAACGCCCTTGAGGGCTAAGATGGATTGCTTCGATTCCAGTAAAATGGTTCTCCGGTTCTCTACACTCACCATACGAAACACAGCAGCATTAAGCTGCTATTTTACACTGGTATTCTGTAAGAGCATGGTCCTTCTCAGGTCGAGTCAACCCATTTGTGCCACAACCTTAATGTATATATATAAATTGTGGCTGCATCGTGGCTCTACCACAATTCAATTTATGCTTTAAATTTCATTAGTGCTTTAAAACAAAACTGATTAAATTATAAAACAAATATGTTTTTTACAATTTAAATAGTATCTTAAAATGTTAATGAAGTGTGCGACAGATTGTTTGATGGACTGACAAATGAAAACCACAAAATGTGCTACTAAAATTATACACATTTGGTATGATCGCACCAAACTAATGCAAATAATATAATATAAACCCCTTGTTCTTTTTCATAATGTAATTCTTTTTAATACGTAAGATTTTATTTCATTTTGATGTTCTTCTCTAATATTTTTTATTTTATTTTCAACCGACTTCAAAAAAAGGAGGAAGTTCTCATTTCACCTGTATTTTTTTTTGTGTGAAACTCAAACTCAGAACTCTTTTCGAGAGGAATTGATTTTGATGATTTTTTTTATTAGAGATGGGCCAATATGGATTTCACCGAATACGAATACTCGGCCGAACGTTCGGTACAACTTTTACCGAACCGAATATTCGGCCGAACATTATTCGGCAGTATCACCTCGAAACTTGTTACCATAAAGCGCGCAGGAATAGCGCCGAGCCTTTCTTGCTCCTCCGCAACACCTGACATGTTATTGCATCATCATCAGTACCGAACAATTCACCGGCACATGCCTATTTTTGACTATTTTCGTCAAAAAAAAAAAGTATTTCGTTGTGTTAATCTTAGTGAAAATTGATAATTATAATATGATAAAAATGAGTGGCAGATGTACTATTTGGACTTATTTTAGAGAAACTAACGACCAAAGTAAAGTGAAATGTACTTATGTAAAGTAATGCTTTTTGTATGTTTCAAAAAAATTATCAAGCTTGCTATTTGCTATATTTGGAAATAAATCTACAGTGTTTCAAAAACATAACGCTATATAAGTAGATTTTAACCATAAATATACTATATTACCATAATACTTTCAACAGAAAAATTATTAAAGAATGGCATTTCTCAATTCGTAGATTTCAATACAGTGTGTAAAATGTTCACCCTCAAGTTCAAGAGAGTAATTCATTGTTTAAGTGTACCATGACAAATTCTTTAATTTTTAGTTGAATCGGGTCATTTGAGCGACTAAGTTCACATTTTAAATTTGTGTGTTGTGAAAAGTTTACTGTAAGGTTGTTCAATTATTGTGATCTTGTGTCTTAATTCAATAACTAAAGGTGCTTTAAAACCAATAAACGTGCCATTAACATCAGCACAAGTTGCACAAGCAATAGCATTAATTGACCAAGGGCTGACACAGCGTGAAGTTGCTATTTTGCTTAACATACCACTGTCCTCAATGCAGTATGTACTGAAAAGATACCAGGCCCCTACACCCGCAGGCCAGGCAGTGGGTGCGTAAGGTGTACATCGGCCCGGGACGATCGTTTTATTGCTCTGGAGATTTTGAGAAACCGCTACCTGACTGCTGTGGAGATACGCCAGCGGCTCCAAATCGCAAAAGGCGTTAATGTTAGTGAATATACGATGAGAAGACGAATGGAGGAAGTGAATTTAAAAGCTCATAGACCAGCACGAGGTCCAGAACTTCTCAGACAGCACCGAGTAGCCCGTATTCAGTTCGCAAGAGAACATGTCAATTGGACCCATGAGCAATGGGCTAGTGTTGTTCACAGATAAGTGATGAATAGCTTTACGTGCTCCAGACGGTAGAGAAGAGTCGAACAAGTGTTGAAAAAAAGAGGAGAGAGATTTCTACCCATTACCACCACGCAAACTGTGAGTTTCCATAAAGGCTCAATAATGGTGTGGGGAGGTGTAAGTCCCGACGCACGTACAGAGATGGTCATCATCGATAATCGGCTTACAGCTACTCGATACATCGAGGAAGTTCTTCCGGAGTACGTAATGCCTTGTTCGGGGTTCATTAGACGCGCCCAATTCCTCCTCATGCACGATAATGCACGCCCACACGTCGCACATTGTGTAGAGCAATATCTGGAAGAGGATGGAATACAAAAATCACTGTGGCCAACTCGTAGCCCAGACAAAAATCCAACTGAGCAGGTGGCATGTGGGCATGCTCAAAAGAAAGATAAAGTCCAGCTTCAAACCGTCACGAACTCTAAATGAGCTCTGAAATGCAGCGCTGCAAGAGCAGACTGCAAGTTGATGTCAGAAACATCATTCAAAGCATGCCAAATCGAATGCAGGCGGTTATCAGGGCTAAAGGAGGAAACACCCGATATTAAAACTGATAGACAATAAAGAAACAGACTTAATTTTTAACTTTGTATTTTTTTAAAGTGACAATGGAAAGATGTTAATTTTAGTGAAAACCTGTTATCTTGAAAAGAAAAATTTTGGTGAAGTAAACATTAAATTTCTATATTCTAAAACCATTCGAGACACTTATTGAATCATCATCATCATCATTATAGCCCTTCACAAGTCCACGGCTGAACATAGGCCTCTCCCAAGTAATGCCACAAAGCATGGTCCTGAGCCACCTGCATCCATTCTACTTCCTGCATGTTGTACCAGGTCATCACTCCATCTAGTGGGGGGTCGCCTTACACTACGCCTACCGGTACGAGGCTGCCACTCGAGAGCCTTTCTTCCCCATCGGTCATCGGTTCTTCGAGCTATATCACCGGCCCATTGCAACTTCAGCTTACTAATCCATTGGGCTATGTCGGTCACTCTGGTTCCACTGCAGATATGCTCATTTCTGAGATTATTAACGCAGAGAAACTCCGAGCATAGCCCTCTCCATAGCTCGCTGAGCGACCTTGAGCGTCCTCATACGGCTAGCAGTTGTAGCAGCCAGATTAATCAAACCTAAACGGGAATAAATAATATATACTCCGCTGCTACCATAACGCGGAAGGCGAGAATAAATAAAAAAACATTTTATTTCCTAATTATTCTTGGCTACTGAGATACTGCGGACTGTATATAGATAATTTGACGTTCTTATAAAGAAACAAGAAGCAGCCGCAAATATCATTCAGCGCCACAC